TGGGTTCATCTGCTCTGGGCCCCATGGCCACCCCCCAGGGCCCACTGGCCACTCTGGGGGGCCAGGCCAGCGGGAGGGGCAGTGTCCTCACTGTCCCTGCCAGTTTGAGCTGGGTCAGGGGCTACAGGAGCTGAGGGCGGTGTGAGGGCAGTGTCGTCACTGGCCGTCGGGGGGCTGGGGGTGTTACCGGGCGGTGTCCTCACTGTCCCTGTGGGCTGGGGGTGTTATAGGGCAGTGTCCTCACTGTCCCTGTGAGCTGGGGGGTGTTATAGGGCAGTGTCCTCACTGTCCCTCCAGGAGCTGGGGGTGTTATAGGGCAGTGTCCTCATATAGCTGGGGAGTGTTATAGGGCAGTGTCCTCACTGTCCTTGTGAGCTGGGGGTGTTATAGGGCAGTGTCCTCACTGTCCTGTGAGCTGGGGGGTGTTATAGGGCAGTGTCCTCACTATCCCTCCAGGAGCTGTGGGTGTTATAGGGCAGTGTCCTCACTGTCCCATGGGGGTGTTATAGGGCAGTGTCCTCACTGTCCTGTGAGCTGGGGGTGTTATAGGGCAGTGTCCTCACTGTCCTTGTGGGCTGGGGGTGCTATAGGGCAGTGTCCTCACTGTCCTGTGAGCTGGGGGGTGTTATAGGGCAGTGTCCTCACTGTCCCTGCTGGATGAGGGGCTCCAGGAGCTGGGGCTGTTACAGTTTTCCCGGGCTGTTTGTGACTGGCAGCTGCTCCAGCGCCTGGCACGAGGGACCCAACCCCACGCCACCTCGGTGAGGTTCCTCCCATCCCTTCCCCCTCCCCACACACTGCCCCCCAGGGTGGCTCTGACCCCCCAGCCGCCGCCCTGGTGTCCCACGAGTGCCCTCTGTGTTTGCAGGTGGCCATCGTGGTGACGGACGGGCGGCCCCAGGACGGGGTGCAGGACGTGGCCGCCCGTGCCAGGGCTGCGGGCATCGAGATCTTCGCCATCGGGGTGGGCAGGGTGGACATGCCCACGCTGAGGCAGATCGCCAGCCAGCCCCTGGATGACCACGTGGACTATGTGGAGAGCTACAGCGTCATTGAGAAGCTGACCCAGAAGTTTCAGGAAGCTTTCTGTGGTAAGTCCTTGTCACCAAGCCCCGGGCTTCCCAGCCAGGAGCTGTGCCAGCTTTTAATGGAGACGTGGAATGGTTTGGGTTGGAGGGACCTGAGAGACCATCTAGTTCCAACCCCTGCCATGGGCTGAGACACCTTCCACTAGCCCAGGTTGCTCCAACCTGGCCTTGGACACTTCCAGGGATCCAGGGGCAGCCACAGCTTCTCTGTGCCAGGGCCTCGCCTTGTGGGTCCCTTCCAACTCAGAATATTCTGGGATTCTGTGATAACTTGGAAAAAGATTCCTTGGATGGCAGTAGAGGTAACTCTGGCCCTGGGTGAGGATGGAAGGGAATTGCATCTGATCAGATGTTGGACTGAAAAGGCAGAAGAATGGAAAAGGAGGGAAACAGGATAAAGAATAAGATGTTCAGAAATCCATCAGGTGACCTGGACATTGCATTAAACCCATTCCATGAGGACCAGA